TTTCGGCTGAGAAAGCTGCTCCCACTAGCCACTTTGGCTGATTGAGAATCATTTTGAAATTGTAGTTCACTGAGAAGCAGCACGACTAGCAAAATAATGGTTCGTGCGTGCAAAAGAAAGCAGGTGAATACCGAATGAGAGGATGATCACTCACTTACGAGGGCTTCATCACGTGTATGGCTGATGTGATGTGCGTGAGTGTTTATAAAGCTTGCGCGCTTCCGTTTCCTTGCACAAAGCAACCGTGCCTGCAAACGCAGCTTGTGCGATCAGTTCTCTTTGAAATAGACTGAAAAAAGTCCTGCTTTTGCACTCACAGTCCTGCTGCTTTCAAAAGCTCCAGATTATTTTTAAAAGCTTTTTTTTTTTTTGTAAGCAGCAGCAGTTATATATCACCCTGCAGCCCAAGACCGGTTACTCACTGAAGCTAAGCAGGGCTGAGCCTGGTTAGTACCTGGATGGGAGACCACATGGGAAAACTAGGTTGCTGTTGGAAGTGGTGTTAGTGAGGCCAGCAGGGGGTCGGGATCCTGGCAGCAGCGTTCTGGATGAGCTGCAACTGTTTGACTGTCATTTTGGGAAGGCCATTACAGTAATCTATCCTACTGGTGATAAAAGCATGAACAAGTTTCTTCACTGGAAACAAAGCATCTAATTCTTGCAATGTTTTTGAGATGATAGATTTAGTTATGACTACTGAAGCTCAGATCTGTCTCTTATTTCCAAATGCAATGACTTCCGTTTTGTATTCGAATGGATACAAATACAAAACTTTTGGCACATCGTACTGTTCATTTCATCAATGCATTGGCAGAGGTGGTCAATGCAGCTGTAGTCATGAGGCAGTAATGCTAAGTAGATCTGAGTATCATCAGCAGGTCAGCTAAACATTTATATTTGGAAAAGGCTGAAAATTACAGAGGAGGGTGAATCATTTAGACTTCAACTGTATTGGTTATGTGATTTGGTTGCTGTGGTTTATCCTCTTTAGGATATGACGGAGGAGGACATCGACGCTGAACTGGCCGTCATTCACTCTCAGATGGCGTATGTGATTCAGCTGCAGGGCAGAACTGAAGACGCTCTGCAACTCTACAGTCAAGTCATTAAACTCAAGTGCGTACACAGTACACTCATCATTAGTACATTAATAAAATGCAAATAAACATATGCACAGATATGCATGGAAAATCTCCCATAGGATGTTAAAAGTGCAAAAAAAATGTTGTTAAACAAAAACTAAAGCCCACTTATTTTACGTATTGCCTTACAGTTCTAGTATTTATGTACTGCATTTACAAGTGTATAAGTTGCAGCTGGCAATGAGCTACATTGGGTCAAATTTGCTTTGTTGAGATATTAAAAAATAAATGCATGGAAATTATCTCATAGAAAGAAAAATTGCCAAAACAAATTGGCTATATAAATTAAAAACCCACCAATTTAATGTATTTTCTTACAATTCTACTATTTATTTGCTGTAATCACCAGAATATAAGTTGCATTCGGAGATGAGCTATGGTCAAAATTGCAGATATTTAGAAAATGTATGGAAAATCTTCCAAAGGATGTGAAATTGCCAAAGAAAAAAAGGTGGTGATTACACAAATTAAAAACCCACCTATTTTCTGTATAGCCTTACAATTGTTGTATTTGTTTACCAGGATTTAAATTGCACTTGGCAATAAGCTAAAATATAAAGTCAAAATATAGTTTTAAGTTGCATGATTTGTAAATAAATTATCATTTTGTTCACGAATTAGATAAAATAATCTTAAATGAAATGTTATTAAGCATTATAGAAGTGTATTGTTTGTGTCCCCTTACTCCACAACAAATTGTTTGTTTAATGATATTAAAAACAGAAAAATAAAAACATAAAAACAAATTTTACTGGAATTCACTAACTCTGTTGTAATTATCAAGTCTAAATGAATATACTCAGGCCCCGTTTACACTAATGCGTTTTAGTTTGAAAAGTTTTTCTATCTGTCCACACTACGCCGGAGTTTTCAAGTGCCGAAAACGGAGCGTTTTGGAAATGCTAAAGGGGCCGTTTTCATCCTAAAACGCTGCTGCTCCGTCTCAGTGTTGATGGGGGGAAAACGGAGACATCTGAAAACAGAGGCGGGGCTGCAGACATTCACCTCTCTGATTGGGGCTTTTCCTCAATATTAAGTAGCCGACACACACAGTTAAAGTTCTGCATCCTCTCCTTGTAAGTTCAGACTTCGCAAGTTTGATTCCCGAGGACATGTTGGGTAAATCTTTAAAGGGAACAGTGTATTTTATAACCTCATTCACATCATCCTGGCTACGTTTTTCACTTTCTTAACAATGAAATAAAAACATAAAGGAACTGCTACTTTCATTTTGATATTAACAACTTAACAGACAGTAGACATGTTGTGCTGCATATATGAGCGTCATCTTCACTGTGTGCCTATTCATAACAAAATGGAGCCGTTTTAATTATTAGTTTTAATTATCAATAATGGCCATTATTAAAGTATAACATACAATAAGTTTATACATTATAGGAAATAAAGGCAAGCAATCAGTCAATATACCGAATGTACGTGCTTACATTAATTATTAACTTATCTTTGCGCTCAGCCAAAACACGTTACAACTGTGAACATGTAATAGATTCAAAAGACCAAAGCCGGGGAATATGTTGTTAGATATAGACAACAAGATGAATTAAATATCACGTTTAACAAATATAGTGAGATTAGATCCAGTGGGAGATCCTTGATGAACACACTGAGCTCAGCTCTCATCTGGCATCATTCAAAGAGTGTGTGTGTGGTCACGTGACGTGCGTTTTCAGCGTTTTGGTGTAGACTGAGAGCTGTTCAGAAACGCTGGGTGGAACACTAATGTTTAGGCAGATCGTTTTCATTCTAAATTGCCGTTTTAAAACTAAATTGCACTAGTGTAAACGGGCCTTAAAGTGATACTGTAAATATAAGTGTGAAATGAAATATGAAACTCAACACCACTGTAAATGTCTGCCATGTTTTGAGCGCTTGACGTTAACTTCAGTCTGTAAGGTGCAGATTTCAAACACCAACACTTTCTGTTGAATAATAAAATTATTATGAATAAATACTATAGATTTTTTTCTTTAATCATTATTTGCTTTTTATTTGCAGCATTTTAAAATGCTTTGGATTTGTTTGAAATTAGCAGTCGTAATATAGAAATGTTTGCCGTTGAAGTTGCCACATTATGCTCAGTGCAGTGAATTTAGACTTTTCTCTTTGCGTTCAGGCCGTCAGATGTGGGTTTGCTGGCTGTAACGGCCAACAACATCATCACCATTAACAAGGTAAACATATTTTTTCACATGCTTGAATGACTAATGGTAAATGAGGTGCAAGTGATGGTTTTAATCTGGGATTTTTGTTCCTCCAGGACCAAAATGTGTTTGACTCCAAGAAGAAGGTGAAACTGACCAATGCTGAAGGCGTTGAGCACAAACTGGCCAAAAAACAGCTGCAGGCCATTGAGATCAACAAAGCCTTGCTGGCCATGTACACTAACCAGGTGAGCAGCCGATTTCTGCTGCACAATTTTAATTAAAAGGAACCAAAATTCATAACCTACATCCTTAAATTAGCATGTTTTAATTTCCCCTCATTTATTTATGCTTTTAAACTGCATTATGGGATCTTGATCTTTCCTCCAACAACTTTTAAGTTGGAAAAAATGACTTTTATTGACATGTGTAATAGTTTGCAGTGCTATATTGTCTGGGTTGGTGTTATATCACACTACAAAAACCTTGTAATAAATTGCAGCACATTTTAACTAACAAGTTAAGTTTTTATCATAACTAAAAAATAAAACAATATTTTATTGACTGATGTTTTGTTAACTTGAGTTTTCCAGTTGTTGCATATGGGTGTACAGAGCTGTATTGTCATAACGAGAAGCGCACATCTAATAACCATAAGTAGTTTGATTCAATAAATGAAGTTTCACTAACTAATTTCGAGAGGAGCACGTGATATGATTGACTGCAGCTGGCCACTCATCTACACTCTTTGTCTAGCCAATCGGATTGATCCAAACTCACTATAAGTAACCTAGCTAAGAACTACTCCCTTATCTTCGTTTTCCGAAGAAACCCCCCATCCACCCCTTCTCCTCCTTTCCTCTTTTGCCGAGGGGAGCTCTCGAGAACACCTGACCTCGTACTCCCCTCACATGCTTTATGGACCTGGCGGGAGCCCTGGGCTTAATTATCTCCGAGCTCAGGGTTCTCTCCCGGGACAGCATGCCAAACCTGCTAACTTGCTAACAAGTTGTCAAACAGTATCTACGTGTGAACTCTTGAACTTCAGTTATAGAAGAATGGCCTTTCATTAGACAAGGATGATAATCTAGCTGTGTATATTTACAGTACAAATGATAACACAATGGAAAATAATAAGTAAATGAATTAGGCATGCACAGAAATTAAAATTCTTTTTCATTTTATTTTATAATTTATTTAACATTTTTCCATTTTAAATACATATCAAACAACCCTTACAGAAATAATAATAGAAGAAAAAAAAAAAAAAATATATATATATATATATATATATATATATATATATATATATATATATACAAATAACATATTGATAAAAAAGTGAATAAATTAATTAATTAATATAAATAAAAAAAGAAGATAATAATAAAATAAAACCAAATTAACAAATAATGCGAGGCAGATGTCTACATTTATACAGTAATCTCAAATGTTACATTTCGAGTAATGAAAGATTACAAATTGATGTATTATTGTGTTCAAAAGCTGAGGTGATCAGTCTAGATCCAGCTGGAGAGTTTTAACATAGAAAGAAAGGGCATCCCAAATTTTGGCAAATGTTCCATTAGGTCTTTGAAGGGAATATCTAATCTTCTCTAGTTTTACAAAATACAAAACATTTTTCAGCCACCGTACATGCGAGGGTGGCTGAGGGTTCTTCCAGGGAAAATAAAATGACACGCCTAGCAAGCAAAAGGGCAGAAAGTTTAAAAGGTAAGTGGGTAATGCAGAATTATCCGGCGTCACGCCAAACAGCCCACTAATGGGTGATGGTGCTATATCTATAGAAGTAATGGCTAAAAGAGACTGAAATACTGAGCCCCAAAATGAGGAAAGAGCTGGGCTTGTCCAAAACATATGGGTTAAAGTACCTAAACCCGAATGACACCTATCACACTCTGGATCAATAGTTGGGTTGATCCGTGCGAGCCTACATTTTGACCAGTGTACTCTGTGTGAACCACTTTACACTGAATGAGGCAGTGACGTGCGCATATATATGAAGAATGAACCCTGTCCAGAACTGCCTCCCATGTATCTTGGTCCAGAAATGAAAATTCTTGTCCGAAATCAAAATGAGAGCAAACCAAGGCCGAAAACCGAAAGAAATTGTGGCAATCATTAATAGCATTGCATTTATAGCTATGACTGTGTACTAACCGTACTTAATTCAAGGCATTGCAATTAATATTAAAGTTTCAAAGAATAAACTAATCACAAATCTATTACAGATGATTACAGATCTAGCTGATGAGTGGCTGAGCTTGTCGTCTGCCTGGCATTTGAGAAAGATTTGAGAGAGTGTTTTAAATAGGGCCAGTGCATAAATAGCGTCTTTTTTGTGAAATTTAAAAAATATCTAGCAGAAATATGACTTCAATCTTACAACAGAATTGCCCACCAACTATTATTTGATGGATGGAATAGACCTGCTGCAGAAATGCTGCTTCAGCTGAGCACGCACAGGCTGCTCCGGTTTCTGTTTGCATCATCACAACATACTGTTTCGGCAGTGTTATTTTGGTGATAAAAATCTTTCAGCCGAAAACCGAAAATGCAATTTTGGGCCATTTTTGGTGGCCAAATATTCGGTGCATTCTTAAAATAAATAATTGCAATAAAAATAAAAGAATTTTTCAGTAATCAAAATCAAGGCAAAAAGTGTACAGGTTTTGATTTTAGATTATATGGCCCCTCTCTAGCTGCTTGCATGATTTATTTAAAAAAAAAAAAAAGTTAAACTAGTTTTGACCTCCGGACTGTCTCTTCACAGGCTGATCAGTGCAATAAACTGCTGTCGAGTCTGCAGACCCAGAATCCCACTCACCCCAGACCCGTCCTCATCCAGGTGGCTCAGCTCTGCCGAGAGAAACAGCACAGTAAAGCCATCGAGCTCCTGCAGGTACGTTTACACACACCTCACACCCTTCATTTGTGATCTAAAGGGCCTGATATACTTCCAATACACAGCTTTTTCCATAGTTCTTCGCAAAAATAAAGTTTCAATTGAAAAAAAGTGCTTGATTCTGATTGGCTGAGGAACTTTTTAAGTAGCCCAATGCACACAGAGTGCATGCTTCCATTCCAGTGCACGACTTCTGTATTGTTTTTCTATATAAGCATGTGCTTGACGGAGATCTGTGAAATGTATGCTCATGTTTTTTCAGTGCATTGCACATAAGAGTTAAAATAATTGCAACTTTTGACACACAGTTCAAAAGGACTGGGAGGTGTGGGGAAGCTTTCTGTACGGGGACAAGTTGCCTTGACAGCTGTTTTATTTGACAATAACATGGATACTTAAAAAAAAAAAACATTCCTGAGAGCAGTGTGTCATGTTTTAGACACATGCATTCTGTATTTTCAGATAATCGCACAGCTATAGTTCCGGCAGGTTTTGAACACGTTACAGCTCTATATCACTCCGCTGAATCCACATTTACAAAATTTAAATATAAACCTGGACATGTCAAATACACTTCAGTTCCCTGCCTCAATGGAATCTACAGAAGCCCATAATCAATATGGATTGATTTAGGACATCAGAAGAAAGGAGTAACTCATCCCAATGTATACAAACAACAATATTTGGATATGGGAAGACGATGTTCTCACCTATTTTTACAGATGGTTTAAAGGTGGAAAATGCCATAGCAGCAGTAATGGTGACTGGGCAGCAACATTATGGAATCAGTCTGCCTGATTAATGCTGCATATTCACAACTAGGGTTGTAACGGTATGAATTTTTCACGGTATGATAATCGTCTAAAACAATACCACGGTTTGACGGTTTCGCGGTATACGGTATGTTACAAATGTTACAAAATAATAGAACAGTGAAGCAAATTTGACTTTTTCCAAATAATATATTTTTAGTTACTATAAACAACACCACTTACAATGAACAAATAAAAATAAGAAAATAATAAATAATGTGTCAAAGTCCAAATAAAGTCCAAATAAACATGGTGCAAATCCTCAGTAAAAAATAGATATAAATATTTACTATACTATAAATAGTTACATAACGAAACTAGATTCAATATGGAACATCCTTAGGTTTTATGTGCCAGCATGGATATGGTTGTCTGTGGATATGGATTTGGATATGGTTGTATGCAATGCAGACAAACAGCTGCATCTTCATTTGCGTCTTTTGAAAACAGCAAGAGCAGCAGTTCGTCTTTGCTGTGTCACTGTTTTGTCATGTTTCTGTGCTGCTGTGCATGCAAAAGTACTTAGTATGAGAATTATTTCATGAAAAACTTTTTTTTTTTGCGTTTTATTTAGCCACGCATAAATGTATGCCTATCTCTCATTCCGTGTTGTTCAAAAAGCTTGGTCCACAAGCAAAAGCGAAACCTATGCTTATTGGTTGTGATATAGCGAGTTTGAACCAATCTGGGCATGGAGGAGGGACAATGCATCTATGTATCATGTCTGATTTGTCCGGAGACACAGTGACGAGCGTTTCTTTGTCAAATCAGCGTTGTCAAATTTTGATGACGTAACCGCACTGATTCCGGAGCCTCTGAAAGTCCGCGAATGTTATGTGATTCTGTTGTGAGCTGAGATTCTCTTCTTTATGCCAATCTTTGAATTGTATGAATCGGATCAGCGGATCAAAAGTTATTAAACATTTAAGAGCAATACTTATTTTTAGCCGCTGGCGGCTGTCTCGGTCTTTAAGGGTTAAAACCGTTGATATGCAATTGTTCATGGTATGATAATCGTGCACGTTCAAATCGTGGTAAACCGTCATACCGGTATATTGTTACAACCCTATTCACAACTGAAGCCCGCACTTTACTTTTAGCATTGGAGTATATAGAAAATGCCCAACAAAAGAAATCTATCATTTTTACAGAGGATCATCCTTTGATTGATAATATTTGAACTAAAGTTCACCAACTAAAAAATCAGTTTTATCACATCATTTTTTGCTGGGTTCCAGGACATGTCGGGCTTTCAGGAAATGAGCGAGCTGATGCAGCTGCTAAAGACACTTTAAAGCACGTGGTGAACAAATGCCTGATGCCTCCATCAGAGATGAGACCAAGTGTGCCGCAAGCCTACGTTTGAGTGAAGGTTTCGGCCGTTAGATCGCCCCCTGGGGGCTGGCTGCAGTACAAGTCATAAAGCCCGCCTCCTCCGTGTTAATGAAGGAGACTTGAGCCCAAATAAAAAAAATTATTACACTTGCAATAAAATGTCCCGAAAGATAGTTCTGGTGGATTAAGGCACTGGTTATTGTGCTAAAATAGGTGTAGATCTTCATTTTTGTAAACAGTTTGTTTTTAGCAGTAATTTAATGCTGGGCGTGTCATCGTGATTGACAGCTGTGATTGACAGTTTCTCAAAGCAGATCGTCTGAGCTTCGGCAGGAGACTGAAGTAGACTGAAATGTTATTATTCGATTTCTGTGTTATTTTACCATGACAAAATGAGTTCAGCAGTAAACTATAGTGTCTGACATGCATGATCCTGGTGGAACACTGTTTATTCGCTAAGTTCAGGGCTTTTTTCGGGCTTTATTAGTTTGCTGATACACGCCTAGCCACCCAGATAGCAAAACACAGTTCCGGCTAGATTCTCGCCTGCCGGAGACTTATCTCTTAGAGCTCAGACTGACTACCTCTGCTGGACCTACTCCGGATGCCTGGACTCACTACCCAATTCCAGCCCGAGTCAATCGAGCCAGATGCGGCGGCCGAGCGAGCAGGCGCTGCCGCATGCGAGCCGGAATCAGCCCGCGACGCCGCGAGTAGGTTATGCGCTGCGGCCTGGAGCTGGCGCGATTGAATATATAAAACCCTCATATTTGTTAACGTTATTACATCCATTTGTGTTGATATGACAGCAAACGCATGCTGAGAAGTTCGGAGGGCGTGGTTGATTTTACATAAAGCGTTTGGTTGGAAGCTCGACTCATTTTCGCGGCTCCTCCTCTGGCTCCATCAGACAATCCTTCTGCGCATGTCAAGGCTCCAATTTCAGCAGTCTTTTGCGACAGTTTGTGCCCGTCAAGCAGGCGTTTTTTCCCTCAAGGCGTTCAATGGGAAAAAGGGCTGTCGCGTCGTCCATATTTTTTTCAGTCATTGGATGAGACCTTTTATCAATGTTTACATTTTTAAAAAGCGGCAGGAGATATTTAATTTTAGATATGATCAAGTGGTTTCTACCAGATGTCATATTGGGCAGACTAGAATAACCCATGGTTTTTTGCTCCAAAGTGAAAACCCTACTCGGTGTTTGTGCTGCACAACTCCCCTTACTATAAAACACATTTTACTGGACTGTCCAGCTTTTAATGATTCCAGAAGACTTTTTTTTTTTTAAATGAAATTCTCTCTCTTAAGGAGATTTTTAGCAAAGTGACACCAGAAAAGATTTTAGAATTCTTATGTATTAACACTAAACATCTTATTTAATTTAGCTATTCATTTGTTTGTTGATTTTTAATTGTTTATTATATTTATTATTGAAATGTTCCTGCCATGTAAATAGCCTCGGTTGCTGGCATGTCATTAAATTAAAAAATACATTACATCACATTACATGACTCGATGAAGCAATTTCACAGTCAAAAATCACATCAAACACAACAGAAGGCTTTGGAGGAGATGTGGATTAAACTAGTGATACACACAGGAGCAATTTCAAGTGGACAAAAACCTGACTAATAAACTCTGATACAGAATCTCAGCAGTGCTGAAGCTGTGGAGACGAGTATAAGCTGTGTAATTGATGATGAACTGTTGAATTATTCATAAAGTAAAGCACACCTGAAGTGTAACAGCTCTGCTTAATTTCTCTAATGATTTAATTAATCCTTAAGCAAGGTAAAGCTAAAATAAACCTGTGTTCTGTGTTTCTGCAGCGGTTTTCAGATCAGCATCCTGAGAGCGCATCTGGAATCAAACTCACCATGGCTCAGCTCTACCTGACACAAGGTAAACACACACACACACACACACACTGGCAGACAAAAATGAACTCTCGAACAAGTTTAATTTCTATATTGTCGTCAACAGGTCATGTGACCAAAGCCTGTGACATCCTGAAGTCCATAGAAGAATTTAAATACAAGCCAGGAATGGTGAGGTTTCTTTTGTTTTTGGCTTTATGCATGATATTAAAAGGTACAGTGTTTATTTTGCTAGCGCACATTGTTGGCCTCAAAGTGAACAATTAATTCATGCGAGTTAATCCACAGAAAAACCGGTTTGTTTAGGTAATCTTTAATCGAAACATTACAAACTGTTTGTGCATTTGAACGACAGTGCTCTTTTGATTCTGATTGGCTGAATTATGGTTAGCCACACCCTCTGCCCATTACTGTGCTGTGAGAGAAAAAAGCAGACAAATTAAAGCCCCACCCCCTACACAGTGTTCAATTTGTGTTGGGAATACATTATCAAACTAACAGAACAGTGTGCAGCAACTTCTAGTTCAAATGTTTGTTTTCTCACAGATTTCTGCTCTGATCACCATGTACACGCATGAAGAGGACATTGACAGCGCCATCGACGTCTTCTCTCAAGCCATCCAGTATTACCAGTCAGAGCAGGTAAAACTGCAGTAATCCAGCAACACTTTGTTAACTCAGTGCTTGATTGCATGAAAGTCCTTAAAGGGTCACGAAACACCAGAACACATGTGTTGAGCTGTTGACAGTGGTATATGTGTCCCACACTGCTAAAAACACTATTAGGACACCTATATTTCACTAAAAAGTGTAAATTGGTTGTTTTTGCAAGCAAATTCGTACTTCCGGTTTGAAACGAATTTTTGAAGCTGCGTCATGGTCATGACATAATAGCGTGTATTCCAGCGTGCAGACTGGACGTCTGTGCCAGAGTGAGTCTTATTACGTCTTACAGTGTGCTGCATTAATGCATAAGTAAGGCTTGGTTCAAACCAATCAGCGCGCTCTATTGTGCAACTTCATTAATATTCATTACTATCACCGTGTTTTCAGGACAGAGACGCCACGTTGTGTTGGCAAAACAAGCGTGAAGTGTTGCTTTTATAGTTTGCTGCAGTGAAGTTTCGTTTTCATTTTCTCTCTGTGAGAGCTCAGTCTCACGTGTGGATTAACAGTGTACGCGACGCTCGACAACAATAACTTACGTGTCTAAGGAGGAACATTGTTTACCTGAGAGCTGTTCTCATCTGCAAACGCTGAGATCCGGATTCGCTTGTAGTCTCCTCTTAATAAAGACGTGGCTCTAGTTGCTGGTGATTGTCCTGTCTCTACAGATTTGGTAAGTGAGCGACCAGTGCTCTTTGTTTATTCAGTTCGTATTTTATTTGTATCAAACAAACTATTGCACCGAGTGTAAACAAGTTAGCACTAACAGTTACAACCAAACTATAACCTTGTGTTGGATTTAGTGACCGGAATAACACACGCGGCTTTCTGACGCTGCCTGCCGTGTGCATCTAAGTTTCCGGGAAATGCTCAGTTTTTTTTCTCTCATTCGCCGTGCGGTATCAAACATTGCATGAAAAATACACGCTAAGAGCAGTTCCTCGAATCAAATATCACGTTTGTCGGGAAGGACATGAATGAATTCCCTGAATGAAAGAGCCAAACTGCAGTTAAAGTCCACCATTTAATAATATGGCAAATAATTCGACTACAAATGTCCATGTACACCGTCACTTTGTCCACTGTGGGTGTGTTTTGACTCTGAAACTCGCGCGAGCCCAAATAGACACTCCCACACCCTCCCACTTTAGTTCCTCCGACACTCCCCCCTAAACAGAGCTGGACACGCCCACTTTTCTGACTTTTTCCAAAGTAGAGGTGTGAAAACACCCTGCTGAAACGAGGGGGTTTCATGGCCCTTTAAGTCATTTAACTTAAGGGTGGAAAAAAAAATCTCTGAGATAAGGGATTACATTAAGAGCGCCGTAACAAACATCTTAACTATTACACTTACCCAAGTGCCTACTCTAAGCATTTCACTGTAGTTTCTGGCGACATGCGGCATCGGGCACTGCGGTTGCCATAGTTTTGAAATAACTCTGCAATACACATTGTTTCCTTGTAAGATTAGGTCTGCCTGAGTTATTGGGCGTGGCTAAAATACTTAACCACGCCCCCTCCAGCTGTCAGTTTTGACAACAAAGAGAAATGGTGAGCAGGAGGAGGAGTCTGTTAGGTTGTAATAACTCTCCCCAAACCCTTCTCCCCATCTTTCTGAATGAAATGTCTACTTTGCTACATCCAATCAGCTCGCAGTAGACAAAAACAAGCCACGCCCACTGTATACTCATTTAATATTACGTTTCTCTACATCACAATATGAAAAAAAAAGCACTCACAGCTTCTGGTTTATGCAAACTATAAGGACTTTCATGATCCAATCCTAGATGTGCATGATAATCTCAGTCTCTTCCGTTAGCCGGGCTCCAGCATCCACCTTTCTCTGGTTCGCGAGGCTGCAAACTACAAGCTGAAATACGGCCGTAAGAAAGAGGCCACCAGTGACCTGGAGCAGCTGTGGAAACAAAACACCAACGACATCCACACACTCGCTCAGCTCATCTCCGCGTACTCGCTGGTGGATCAGGACAAGGCCAAAGCGTATCCTCACACACGCCTGCATCTACTTTGATATAAGAGAGTAAAATTGGATGACACTTTAGTTTGGGTCACAATTCATGCCATTATCTACTAGCCTATTATTAAGACATGAACTGTTTATTAGTAGTTATAAAGTATGAGCTTACTCTGCATCCCTAATCCTACATAAACCTAACATCTACCTTACTTATTAATATACAGCTAATTAGTAGTTTGTTAAGCTGGTATTGTTAGTTAATGCTTTGTTAAATCTGTGAGTTCTGACCTGAAGTGTTACCGAAATAGCCTAGTTTTCTGCTGTGTTTTCCTGAACGCTTGGTTTTGTTCAGTCTGAGTAAACACCTTCCCTCCCCGGATAAAATGGCCTTTAATGTGGACGTTGATGAGCTGGAGAATTCGCACGGAGCCACGTATATCAGGAAAAAAGCTGCCAAAGTCGTCGGGGAAAGCCAGCCTAAAGAACAGGGGTAACTCGATTTAACTCCTTTTAAAAGTCACTGAAAGACTTTAGCTCGAATGCAGTCCATCTGACAGCAAAGGTTCAGTAGATTTGTTCTTGTGCATGTTTATTTAACCTAAATGAAACCAAAATCACTATATATCTTATTTTAAGATATTAGCACACTTCAAAATGAGCTTTTCTTACTTTGTTTCTGGTCCAAATGCCTCAACATTCTTAAATAACCAAGCACAAAAGACAAGGTTTTATTTTCAGAAATATTGAGTCAAAATGAAGTGAGTTTTTCCCTAAAACAAGCTAAATAATCTGCCAATGGTCTTCTCTTTGAAAGAAGATTATTCTGCTTCCCCATTGGCAGATTATTTTGCTTGTTTTAAGGTAAAACTCACTTCATTTTGACTCTTTTTTTCTGAAAACAAGACAATGGCTCAATCCCAATTCTAGTAATTGTTGTACCCCTTGGCCCTTGAAACAGAGAATGAAGGGGAAGAGCTTCAAGATTTACCCCTAAAAATTGGGACAGCACTACAGCTCCTGCACACGTCCTCATCATGTCATCACGAACTCTTGCATCATATGAGATCAGATGATGGAGACGGCTGTAGTTATTCCAGTTGTGTTATTTTTTGGTGTTTATCTTTAGGAAATCACTGAAGGCATATATTATTATGTTATCATAACGATCTAATGTGGTAATCAGCTCATAACTGTACTGTGTATTTACACAGTGGCCATATTCATTAATGTAAACACACCAAAACAACATTGACATTATAGTAGTCACTGTACAAAGCCTATTCACAGCCACTAGACTTTTCTGACAGGGGATTTGAGTTGTGTGACTGCCGTACAGGTGCTATTATTAGGGATTATAGATCGACAAATTTAGCGTTTTTTTTACTTTAACAAGAACGCCATTATGAATATATTAAAACATGTGCTTGTTTGTCGTAAAAAATTTGTAATAATGACAAAAAAAACACTCATTTGTGGATCTCCTGACTTCCGTGTGCAGCCATGCTGCTGTTGTAGATGGTGTATTCTGGGAAATTTTCTTACGCTTGGTTTCGAGTGTGGCCCTGAAAATCTATCTAGCCCTTCCCCTTAGCCCTACGCCTTCATGATAAAGAGAATTGGCACACCCCTCATTTTGCACGTTTCCGTGAAGGGGTAGGGGTGTCCCAATTCTCTTTATCTTAAAGGCGTAGGGCTAAAGCACAGGTGTCAAACTCAGTTCCTGGAGGGCCGCAGCTCTGCACAGTTTAGCTCCAACCCTAATTAAACACACCTGATCAAACTAATTGAGTCCTTCAGGCTTGTTTGAAACCTACAGGTAAGTGTGTTGGAGCAGGGTTGGAACTAAACTGTGCAGGGCTTCGGCCCTCCAGGAATTGAGTTTGACACCCCTGGGATAAGGGTTAGAATTGAGATTGGGCCTTATTTTTTATTTGTCTTAAAGATGCTTCTTGATTTAAGAGTTTGTAGATATTCAGACTAGAAACAAGATAAGCTTTTTTTTTTTTTGCATTGTATTAGTATTGCATCTTGCTGTTTGGAGAAATTGCACTTTTTTCCCACAGTTAATAAAAATGTGTCTATATGTGCAGCCCAGTATATAATGATTGTAAAAGTACCGTGAAAATGCTTTAATTAAAAGTTTTTTTATTATATATAGTTCCACTAGCATGCAACATAAACGTGATATGCTTTTGCTCTCTTGTTCATTTAACATGTTGGTTGCTTTGTTTCAGTCCAGAGGATGTGAAAAAGAAGAAGAAAAAGAAGAAGGGTACGTCTGATAACTGAAATATTAGTTCTGGGCAAAGATTAATCATGATTAATTGCATTCAAAATAAAAGTTAGTGTTGACAATACATGTGTGTGTGTGTGTGTGTGTGTGTGTGTGTGTGTGTGTGTGTGTGTGTGTGTGTGTATATATATATATATATATATATTTACAGCACTACCTACTGCACCACTGCCTCGCCCTATATATATATATATATATATATATATATATATATATATATATATATATATATATTAGTTTTAGTCCTTGATTCTGATTGGTTGAGCCAAAATGTAAAATTCTGTAAAAACATACTGTGCTGGCAACATTTCACTAATAATAACAAAAATTAATTTTTTATTTTGTTTGTTTAAACTTGCTTCATATAAGGTATAATCATTTTAGAAAAGCAATAGGCCTCATGATTTATAATGAATTTATTATAGCTAAGGGGTTTTAGGTGCTCCACTCTAAATCATTAATAACAATACTCCTTACCGGTTCTAAATTGAGTGCAAAGCTTCATGGGGATTCTTTCTTTAATTGGCACTACAGAGAGATAGAGGATGATTGTCAGTGCTGTTTTTTTTCCTCAGGTAAACTCCCTAAAAACTACGACCCGAACTCGAGTCCTGACCCGGAGCGCTGGCTGCCGATGAGAGAGCGCTCGTATTACCGTGGTAAAAAGAAGGGCAAGAAGAAGGAGCAGGTCGGCCGCGGCACACAGGGCACAACATCTGGAGCTACTGCTGAACTGTGAGCTATGTTTACATACATTTGACCTGTTTTACACTGATAACATCAGTCCTGTTTTTGAATCTGCCACTATGCTGACACATAGGTATTTGTAGCTCCGCCCTCTTTTTAAAAAAAAGCACTATCTCATTTGCATTTAAAGCAACAGTCACCAAAACATCAGTATTAGGATCAAACCAAGGGTCCGTTTCAGAGAGTTAGAAAACATTGTGTGCTATTAAGAGCTGACGCTTCACACTCTAAAGACAGCAGAGATTTGTTTTACATCTTGTGGTGTAGCAGATCTGCTTTAATATAAGTCATTTTTATTTATTTATGTACTCTGTTAAGCACTGCTTCATGCACACAGCATGGCTTTTTCAGCAGTATTGACTGCATTGTTGTTGTTTCTCCCTAGTGATGCCAGTAAAACCGCCACCAGTCCCCCCACGTCTCCTCGTCCCGGCTCGGGCACCGGCGCCCCCAGCAGCAGCGGTAGCAGCACTGCGATTCCTCCACGCCAGCAGAAACCCGCCGCGCCTGCAGCCGCTCGCAAAAAAGCCCCACCCAAGAAGAAGAAAGGAGGAAAGGGAGGCTGGTAGAGACACTTCTGCTCGCTCGCTTTTACACCGACCCACACAGAAGGACGAACACATGCTTCTTTGGATGTCGCAGGCTGTGTCTTATATCAATACATTGTTTTTATTTACCGTTCAGTCCATGCATTAATATCAATGTCGAGGAGCCGATGGGCATTTCTCCACTTCTGCCTTTTATTTGAAACAGGTTTCTTTCTGGGCGATTTTTTTCTGTTTGTTTTGCCTGGTTTATGAATGCTTAATAAAGCAACTCTGTGTCACTATAGAGGCTGTTTATGCAAACTGCAGATGTTTATTTTTTAACCCTGCTCATTCTCAACAAGCTCAGTCAGAGAAGCAAGCGGAGGCCGATCTGCAGTGTTACGTCTTAATAAAGAGATTCCTGGAAAAACCATCAACCGTTCAGTGTTTTCCACATGTTATACACTTAAGAACAGTGTTGGACATATTTGCCTCATTACAAACACGGCTTTGATTAGAAATGTCATTTATTTGATGCACATAGATGAAATAATTCTACAAATATAAGCGATATTTCCTTTATCTTCGTATTGTAGAGTGATTTCTATTATTTTATATCACATTATTTTATATTATATAATTGCATATAAAAAGTTAAAAATAATTATGCCAAATAATAAAACGTCATTAAAATAGTTAAAAAATGTGGTTGGATATATATATATATATATATATTTTTTTTTTTTTTTTTTTTTTTTTTTTATTTAAACATTTTAAAGCATTACCTGAATATTTTTAGAAACCTCAGTTAAAAAAAAAAAATGAAATACCTTATCATGCATTGTTTTTTTTTCAAATACGACGACTGCATACTTATAGCTGTGCATACCTGTAAATTTTAAAATCCAGAGTCAAAATATTTTAGCATGCAGTGTTTATTAAATAATTTATAATTAATTATAAAGTTTGGGATATCAAATAATTCGTTTATTGATTTTAATCATCGCAATTAATTCACATTTGTTCATTCTATTGAGAATTCTGTCATTTGATGACATATTTAAAGAAACACTTCAGTACGGTCACTTCTTTATTTTCTTACAGAGTACATTTTATTCTTATTTAAATCTGTTATGCTGAATTTGAAACCTTTAATTCACCCACTATTGTGCATTTCATTCTTTCAGAGTAGATCGCTGTGTGTTTGTTTACTACTTTACAAATGTGTTTTTTGAGAAACGTCAGTGTTTGTCCAGCAGGCGGCGCTAGAAGGGGATACAGCTGCGGCTGGAAGTTGACTAGAATGTTATATTTATTAAACTATATATTAATTGTATTTTATTAACGTCTACCCCTATCCAAATCCTAAATCAAACAATCCCAGTAATGTAAAAACAGTAATTATACAAAGTATTAAATTGTATTTTATTAACGTCTCCACCACTCCAGCCATCACAGTAATGTAAAAAAGTAAATATACCTAGTATTATTCATATCATTTATCAAATTATATTTTATTAGCGCCTACCCCACCCCAACTATCACAGTAATATTAAAAACAGTAAATATACCAAGTATTATTCATGTTATATATGAAATTATCCATTAAATTGTATTTTATTAAAATCTATCACCACCCTAACCATTACAGTAATGTAAAAAACAGTAAATATACCGAGTATTATTCATATTGTTTATGAAATTACCTTTAAATTGTGTTTTATTAACATCTACCCCAATCATTACAGTAACGTAAAAACAGTAGTTATACCAAGTATTATTCATATTATTTATTAAATGACCTTAAAATACTATTTTATTAACGTCTACCCCTACCCCAAACCCTCACAGTATTGTAAAAAACAGTAAATATACCGAGTATTAATCATATTATTTATGAAACTATTCATTAAATTGTCTTTTATTAACGTCTCTACCACTTAGTAAATGTAAAAAAGTAAATATACATTTTATTATTACTATTATTTATTAAATTATCCAATACACTATATTTTATTAACGTCTACACGTACCCCAACCCTCAGACTAATGTACAAATATTAATTAATCACCAAAAATCGTGCTGCATATTGATGTGCGTATCCGCAGCTGTATCCCTTCTAGACTCTGAGTTCTCGGTGTCTCCCTCTGCCGGACCAGCCGCTCATTACCGCTGTACACATGTCCAGATTTCCCCTCATCCGCAGCTTTAGTGGATTTTAGGAGATTATTAAAGCCCTGACAGGCTTTAGGCACACTAAACCATCGCAGTAATGTAAAAATAGTAGTAATACCAAGTATTATTCACATTATTTATTAAATTATCCATTAAATTGTATTTTAATCTACCCCAAGCATGACAGTAATGTAAAAATCAGCAAATATACCAAGTATTATTCATCTTAATTAATTAATAATTATCATTGTTTAACGTCTACAGGTACCCCTACTCTCAGAATAATGTTCAAATTTTATTTAATCACCAAACACCATGCTCTATTGATGTGCGTATCCGCAGCTGTATCCCTTCTAGACTCTGAGTTCTCGGTGGTGTCTCCCTCTGCCGGCTCAGCCGCTCATTACCGCTATCAAACATGTTAGCCGCTGTGCACCTTTAAATGTCCAGATTTCCTCTCGTCCGCAGCTTTAGTGGCTCTCAAGAGATTATCAAAGCCCTGACAGGCTTTAGAAGCTCTAAAGATCACAATTATCTCGCGATTTGTAGTGATTATCTCAAATCTCACGAGACCTGCGCTTTTGTTGACGATCTCCAGGAAACGCAAAGCTCCGGTTGCACCTTTTCCGCTTTAACAGGAAAGACGAAGACGTTTCACTTTGTGGAAACCTCTTTCTTGATCATTTATACTACTTCTCGCTTTCAGTTTCCTCCACTTCCAGGAAATAGCGACCTGCAGAGTTTGTATACCACTTGTGGAGCCGCTCTGAGGCCTGTGTGTGGCGCATTATGTCCGCGTGAAAGCATAAGAGTCGTATTTGTTAGCATTTGAAGCTGATTCGGATCTTGAATTGAGTGTAAACCGTAGTGCAAACATGCCGGGCGCGCGCGAGATTGGGTTGGTGGGTGCCGCGCTCGCGTTCACTGGCGGCGTCGCGTGCGCGCTCTGCTACCTGACGCAGAAAACAACACAACAAGAGCCAAAGAAAAAACCCAAAGAAGAGCCCAAAGAGAAACCAGAACACGAGCATAAAGCCAGCAAGACTGAAACTGCACGAAAAACGCCCTTAATAACAGAGGTTTGTGGATTTAGAGCTTTAATTAAAGGGTCAGTTCACCCAGAAATGTTCATTTCCTCACACTGAAGTGGTTGTAAACTTTTCTTCTCGTAAAAGTCCTGTGAAATTTAAATAGCATTTAGTTTTAGATGTCAGTATCAGCATGCTAGTGTTAAAGATGATGTATGTGAGTGTTTGACTCTTCTACAGCATAAATACACCGTCATATGTGTGCAGATATTCAGATACTCTGCTTTGGAAATGTGCGTTACACCCCATTTACACGGGGCGTCAGCGTCAACACTTCCCATTCACTTTGAATGGGTGACGTCAAGCGTTGCCGTACTGCATTGTGGATCCATCGGCACCGCTTCAGAAGTTGGGACTAGCTCAACTTTTCAATCGCCTACGGAAGCATCAGCCAATCAGATCGTTGTATGCATATACAATTTCATTGGCTGACGCTGCAATGACGATCGCGTTAGCCCCAACTTCAGACATACCTATAATCAAGCGTTGACGCTGAAGCCCCGTGTGAATGGGGTGTTACGTGCCGGAATGGCTGTCTTTCGCTCCTTTTAACCCGCCCACTAACAGTTTAGCCAATTATATTTCAGCACTCGGGTTGCCTTGATGAAGTTCAAGTTGCTGTTTCGCCTAATCGGGTCAACATTTTTTTAAATTCTTCAGTTTCTCATCAAATCCAGACCAATTAAAATGCTTTTATTATAATACCTTATTCAGACATTGTCAGATCCCAATTGTTATTTAGATGATCGTCACTTTAAATGTAAATGAGACTGTGCTCTTCTTAAAAGAGGGTGGAGCTACAAATGCCTGTGTGTTGAGTAGCGTCTTACTGCAGACTGCAAGACAGTGGCGTAACATGAAGGGGGCTTAAGGCTGATTTATACTTCTGCGTCAAGCGCACGCGTATGCTACAGCGAAGCCTACGGCGTTGACACATAACCCTTTGCCGTGGCCGTCGGCGTCACTGACGTGCACTCAGGGCCGGAGCAAGCTGAACTGCCGCTCTAGGCAGAGGACGATCATGCAGCCCTCAACCCCAATGTGAAAATGAAAGTGACCAGTTATGAAAATGAAGTGAAGTGTTGCGGACCTCTTTTCCAGCGCACTATGCGCGGATATAACTGAGGACGCGCGGGTGCTGACACTGCGCTTTCTATTCTGCCGCCCTATGCGCGGATATAACAGGACGCGCGGGTGTCGCGGACCTCAATTCTGCCGCCCTATGCGCGGATATAACTGAGGACACACGGGTAGTGATGGAGGTGTCGCTGACGCCGCCCTCTCTATTCTGTCGTCTATGCGCGAATATATTTTAGGACGCGGGTTGTAAGGGAGGTGTCGCGGACATAACTGAGGACGCGGGTGGTGACGGAGGTGTCGCGGATGCCGCCCTCTCTATACTGCCGCCCTAGGCGGCCGCCTAGGTCGCCTCTATGGACGCGCCGGCCCTGCTTGCACTTCTCAAAAAATTTAACTACACGTCGCAACGATGCGTAGCGCAAGCTCTGTGATTGGTCGGCTTGGTAACGCTGACGAGTCTGGGCGGGCCTGAGAGCGGCGCGAGCCCAATGGAGCGATTGTTTACAAGTGTGGAGTCCCCTGAAGGAGCTCCGGATGGAAAGTTTTGTTTTGTGTTTACCTCATGGTTAAAGTTGTTGCACGTCCGCCGGTTCCTGCCTCAAAATGAGCGAGTTTGAGCCACTTGTACATCCAGGTAGCGTTCAGGAAAAACAAAACACCAGCGAAGAAACTCGACACATAGGAACATAAACACCTCACTGCCAACTAGCGTTTCAGAAGTGTTATTGCAGAGCAACAGAAACAGCGTGCAGAAGTATAAATGCATGGCAAGGCGCAAGGCATGCGCCGTGGGTCACGCCGATCACTTGACGCAGAAGTATAAACCAGGCTTTAGAGGTGTAACTGGAAATTATGGAGCCATGTCAAAACTATGTTGTCAGCAAGATGGCGCTGTACATCAGTTATTAACGTCTACATCTTCCCCAACCCTAAACCCAACTATCACAGTTTTTACCGTACAACCGTGGAGGCTTTCATACTTGACACGCTCGCCATTGTACTGTTGTACTGCAGCCACAAGGGGGCGATGCCGAGTAGGCTAGTCAGCGAGTGAAGTTGCTAAATGAATGAATATAATAATACTGTATATCAAATGAATTGGCTGTGGATAAGTTTGGAGAAAACTCGTGAAACATTTGGTAAAAGTGTTCTCTGGTAAGTGTTTCCGTCATCTTGCCAACAACAACTCGTTGTGACGTCTCGCATGGTTCAATGGGATCTCGATAACTGCAAGTTACACCCCTTCATCTTACACCCCCGCCTTGCAGTCTGCAGACAGATACACTTGTGTGCGTCATTAGGGTGTCACGATCCTCCAAATCCTCGATTCAATTACATTTTCGATTTTTAAGTCACGTTTTGATTTTCGATTATGAATAATTCATTAATTAATAACGAATTAATTATTTGTAGCCTACCGTTTAAACTACCTGACCTCCATGGTCTTTGTTTTACCCATAAACAAATCATACAGTAAATTAATAAAGGTAAGTTACAGACATAATCACCAAAATCTATCTATTTAATTAATCAATCTATTAAAGAAACGTTGGCTAGAATTCTGCATTTTAGCCTTAAAATATAGAGAGACATATGTTATATAGGCCTATATATATATATATATATATATATATATATATATATATATATATATCGCAATATATATCGCAGGGAAAAAAAATATCGCAATGTCAATTTTTTCCAATATCGTGCAGCCCTATATTACACGATCATAATACACTGTGATATAGCCTGGGTCGTTAGTTCGTTGCATTGTTTTGTTTTCTCGCTACAATCGATCCGCTTAATAGGGCAGAGACCGTCTCATTCAGGCGATCTCGGACTGATTGATTTGGCGCGGATGCGAGCGCAACTGCTGGATATATACCAAACAAACCGCGCTAACGGGGGAAACGAGACAGATTACGAAACAAACGTCTATGTGTGAAAGCACCGTAAGATTGTATTTGCACACAATTGACAGACAGTCACAGCACGCAGCTCTGGCTCGATCTGGCACGCAACAAGGCAGCACTGTACACTGACCCGAGCGTCTCGCACGCTGGTCCCAGGCCATCGGGCAGTCCTTAATGTCGAGCCCTGAAGGTTTAAGCCCTGTCGACGGGTCTCCTGCGTCTGCACAGTTTAACAAGCACTTCAACAAGCGTGTTTTGGGAAAGCCAAGCTGACGTGACATTGGTGGCGTGGCAGCATCGACGATTCTAGTTTTTGATTCGATAATCGAAATTGAGCATAAATTTCGATCGATTTTCGATTAAAATCGAAATCTTGACACCCCTAGTGCGTCAGCATTGTGACAGATAAAACTGTCAACTTCAAGTGTGATTATAACCAATACAATAAATTCACGTTTACCATGAGACGCTGGAGATATTCACACACTGCTGACACACAACTGTATTTAAACCCCTTATTAAAGTGATTTTTCCATAAGCGCTCCCCTTTAACACTCTTTTGGCCCTCCTGTCGTTTAATCCAGCTCTTCTGAAGCGGCTTGACTCTCCATCCTGCTGTGATTTCAGTCATGAGTTCTGCTGTAATGGTGAAGTGTGTGCTCTGTGTGTTCACAGCCCAGGACTGCAGGCACTCAGGTGTTGGTTTTGGGTCTGGACGGAGCAGGAAAGACAAGCTTACTGCACTGTTTCGCTACAGGCAGCCTGGAGCAGGACGTCAGTCCGACTCAAGGCTTCAACGCCGTCTCCATCAACAAAGAAGAGCTGCAGATCGAGTTCTTAGAGAGTAAACACTGCTCCGTTACACACACTTAATGCCTGCATCCCAAAAAATATCATGATCCAATCCCATGCATGCAATGATCAGACGAATTCAATCGTTTTCCTTCAGCTTAGTGAATTTAATCATCAGGGATCACCACAGCGGAATGAACCGCCAACTATTCCATGCATTGAGTAAATCTAAAGTGTTTTATTAAAAAGAAAAGAATAATGCATTACATAAGCAGATCTAATACATGCTGTCAATTTGCAAAAACATCAAGAAACATGGTAAAAAATGATAACTGTATGTATTTTTTCAAAAGGGTTTATAAAGAACAATTAAAATTAAATATAATAATAAAACTTTGTATAATTAAAATGTCAAATCTTTTTTAAATGTAAATAAAAACATGTTATAATAAAAAGAAACTGCATGCATTGGGTAAACCCAAAATCTTTTATTTAAAATTAAATAAACAAAAGATGGCATATACTCGTCTAATGCAGGCGTCACCAAACTTGTTCTTGGAGGGCCGGTGCCCTGTAGATTCTAGCTCCAATCCTAATCAAACACACCTGAACAAGCTAATCAAGCTCTTACTAGGTATACTTGAAACATCCAGGAAGGTTAGAGCTAAACCCTGCAGAGACACACCGACCCTTCAGGACCGATATTGGTGACCCCTAATCTAATGCATGCAGTCACTTACATTAACAAATCATGGTAAAATAAAGAGTAATTCCACACACTAATTTAATATTTATAAAGTCATTAATAAACTGCATGCACTTATCTAAAAATGTCAAATCTTTTTGTTAAAAATATAAACAAAAACATGAGATTAAGTTTCTCAACCATGTTCCTGGAGGAGCACCAGCTCTGCACATTAACCGAACACAACTGATTCAGATCACCAGCTCATGACAGACAACAGAGACATCCAAAACATGCAGTGCTGGTAGTCCTCCAGGAACGTGGTTGAGAAACACTGATATATCCTTTAATAAAAATAAACTGCATGCATTAAGTACATCAAGGCATTACATATACTGATCTGATACATGCAGTCAATTTGTAAAAAAAACATTAGTAAACTAAAGGGTAATTGCATGCACTGATTGAATAGACGTAAAGTTGCTTTGGTTAAACTGTTAGCACTATAGTCATTGTCTATGGCAGGGATGGGCAAACTTGATCCTCGAGGGCCGGTGTCCCTGCAGAGTTTCGTTCCAACACTAGTCAAACACACCTGAACATGCTAATCAGTGTCTTTAAGATCATAGATATATACACTAGATATCGCATAGGGACCCTGAGCATGCGTCAATAGCGCCGCCATATTGGTACAGTGCTCCCAGGACAAATGTCATTCAGCCGCACTAGTCAAGACAGTGTTATTACGTGAAGATGCGGGACTTTAGCGCTGCAAATAAGCAAACAAAGAAAACAAAGCACAAAGGCAGAACATTTCATAGGTAATATTAAGTTTTTTTCTGTTTTTGTGTGTTCTTTTGAGCTAATCAGGTAACGTTATTGATGATAACAGTCACTTACTGCATTCACCATACGGCAAAGCAGCTCCAACTCAAACTAAACACTCGGCTTATGCTAGTTTTGTTGAATAAAATCAGCAAACAATGCAAAAGAAATATGACAACGAGATGCTGCGCTGCCAAAAACTGGTATTATTGTCGGCTAACGTTAGTGAAAGAGTCGTTCATAACGGAGATTCATTCACAAACGAATCGCTCCCTCCGTCAGTATGAGCAGTGAAAGCAGGAGAGGAGCTGTGTTTCAGGACATGATTAGATCAAGTTTAACAGGGAGGGTGAATAGTACATTTCTGTACACACAAACACAAGCTTTTTGTCAGGAATGGCCGTGCGGTCACTGATCCATCAATGTAGAAAAGTGATGTAAAATTATAATTTTCATAATTAAAAAAACAAATTACATACAAACATCCAGGAAAACTCCCGATCACAGATATATGTGTATATGTGTATATCTCTGGCTCTGGATGGCCACAGTCCTCCACTGTACCTTGGTCACGCATTCATTTCAAAGGAGTGCTACCCTGTAGCAAGATGGCGGCGCTATTGACGCATTCCGTCCAATAGACAACAATAGGCCAGGCGACATCTAGTGTATATATCTATGTTTTAAGATCACAAGAAATCTATAAGCAGGTGTGTTTGATTAGGGTTGGAGCTAAACTGTGTAGGACACCGGCCCTCCAGGACCGAGTTTGCCCACCCCTGCTCTATGGTCTAGAAAGGTGATACCGCAGATTGTTTACGTTCTGTTGCTGTGTGTGTGTGTGTGTTGTGCAGTCGGAGGTTCAGAGAAGCTGCGTGAGTACTGGCGGATGTATCTGAGTAAAGCTCGTGTGCTGGTGTTCGTGGTGGACTCGTCTGATCCGGAGCGATTCCCCCTGGCCAAACATCACCTGCAGCAGCTCCTGTCTGCGGACCCCGGCCTGCCGCTAGTGCTGCTCGCTAACAAACAGGTGTGTAAACACACACAACCTTGCTGTCTGTCATTATTAATGTTTTCTTTTATTTATTGTCATTTCTTAACATTTAGTTTCCTTCTCTTTCAGAATTCTAAACTCAATTTAGAGATGTAGATTCAATGCCCATAACTATGAAAGCCAAGAGAGCTCGTGTCCCATTCACACGGGGCTTCAGCGTCAACGCTTGACTGAAGGCGTGTCTGAAGTTGAGGCTAACGCGATCGTCATTGCAGTGTCAGCCAATGAAATTCAGTCAGCTGGTGTATTTGCATACAGCGATCTGATTGGCTGACGCTTCTGTTGACAATTGAAAAGTTGAGCTAGTCCCAACTTCTGCCGCAAGCAATGCCTCTGAAGTGGCGCAGACGGATCCACAATGCAGTTCAGCAACGCTTGACGTCACCATTCAAAGTGAATGGAAAGCGTTGACGCTGAAGGGGCGTTAACGTGCTGCAATTTAAGAAAACACATGCAGTTACATGTGTTGTGAGACAATCCAGCACATATGCTGTCAAACCAATGATGATGAAGGCCACAACTCCCATGATTCCACACTCAGAGTCATCAAAATACACCTTTGTTTGTTGTGAATACACGCCCACTAGTGGACAAAACTACACACTGTCCCTTTAAGAAGAAATATCTTCTTAAAGAGATCGTTCACCTAAAAATGATCAAATCTACACATTATTGACTTTCCCTCAAGTGTTTCCAAACTAATAAGTTTCCTTTTTCTCTTGAACACAAAAGAAGATGCTTTGAAAAATGTTCGAAGCCTGTAACCATTGACTTCTATAGCCGTAAAAACAAATGCTATGGAAGACAATGGTTACAGGTTTCCAACTCCTTTTGTGTTCAACAAAAGGAAGAAACTAGTGGTATGGTGGCTCAGTGGTTAGCACTGTCACCTTACAGCTAGAAGGTCGCTGATTTGAGTCCCAGCTGGTTCAGTTGGTGTTTCTGTGTGGAGTTTGCATGTTCTCCCCGTGGTGCTCCGGTTTCCCCCACAGTCCAAACACATGCGGTATATGATGAACTAAATTATCCGTAGTGTATGAGTGTGTGTGTGAATGAGTGTGTATGGGTGTTTCCCTGTACTGGGTTGCAGCTGGAAGGGCATCCGCTGTGTAAAACATATGCTGGGATAGTTGGCAGTTCATTCCGCTGTGGCGACCCCTGATTAATAAAGGGACTAAGCCATCGGGAAAATGAATGAACTGTCCCTTTAAGAACATTGCTAGTCCCTGGTCTATTCGACCTAATTAAACACTCCTGAATTCCTCCTCCTGGATTTTGAGCATCAGTATGCCGTGTTCAGTGTGTCGTCTCTGTCTGCAGGATGTTTCCGGAGCTCGTGGGATCACGGATCTGTATGAAGCTCTGGATCTGGGGAATGTTGGCGACGGGCATCAGCTCAGTGTGATCGGCACTCAGGTGAAGAAAGGGAAATGTGAAATAAACGCCGGCGTGCAGGACGCCAGAGACCTCATCATCGAGATGATGGCGAACCATTGACCACCGCTGACCACAGCTATTCACCGACACCAAAGAATCTTCAAAACACTAGACAATAACCATCAGCAGTAGGACAGAGACTAGATGACGTAGTTCATTCTCCAGTTTCCTCACCGCTTACTCTTAATAAATAGTCACCTAGGCAAAGAGGCTCCCAGACCCAAAGATCAGCTGAATGGATTAAAAATAAAGGTAAAACTCTGTAAAATGAGCCTATTAAAGCAAAAAGGTGTTCCTTTTAATAATTTAACGACACTAAAATCTTACGATTGCTTAGAATGAGCAGGATAACGAAGCATTTTGAAAAAGATGCCAAAGATGATCTTGTCTGCTGCTGCTGTGCATTATGGGAAGCTCGAGTATGTTCTGAAGATGTGTGTTTGTGTTAGATGCTTTAAAGCAGGGGTGTCAAACTCAATCCCTGGAGGGCCGAAGCCCTGCACAGTTTAGTTCAGGGGTCACCAATCTCGGTCCTGGAGGGCCGGTGTTCCTGCAGGATTTAACTCCAACTTGCCTCAACACACCTGCCTGGATGTTTCAAGTATACCTAGTAAGAGCGTGATTAGCTTGTTCAGGTGTGTTTGATTAGGGTTGGAGCTAAACTCTCCAGGACACCGGCCCTCCAGGAACAAGTTTGATGACCACTGGTTTAGTTCCAACCCTGCTCCAACACACTTACCTGCAGGTTTCAAACAAGCCTGAAGGACTCAATTAGTTTGATCAGGTGTGTTTAATTATGGTTGGAACTAAACTGTGCAGAGCTGCGGCCCTCCAGGAACTGAGTTTGACACCAGTGCTTTAAAGGCTTCATTATGTACAGTGAGATCGTCCTGTACTGCAAATGTCTGTATGTTTATTTTGCTTCGTGACCTTTCTGTGCTTAATTGGCTTTTTAATACCAGATATGGAGTGAGGATTTGATATTTTTTTGCGGCAGTGTGTTTTGAATAAATATGGGTTTTAAAAGGACTAAACGTGTTTGTCATTATTTGTGACAGACCTCCTCTAATGTGGGTTGTTGCCAGAAGGGATACAGGAATTTATTTTATTTATTAAGTGACCCAATAATTGCATTATACTAATGTCAACCCTAAACCCAATCCTCACATTAATGTAAAATCAATAATTATACAGATTATGACTCATATTAATCAATAATTGACCCAATAATTGCAATTTATTAATATCTAACACTAAACCCAACCCTCACAGTAATGTAAAAACAGTGATTATAGCGAGTATTATTCATATTATTTACTAAATTACGCATTATAATGTGTTTTATTAACATTTACCCCTACCCCAACCCTAAACCCAACCCTCACAGTAATTTAAAAACCGTAATTATACAGTGTATTATTGATATTATTCTTTAAATGACCTATTAATTGTACTTTATAAACATCTTACCCTAAACCTAACCCTTATAGTAATGTAAAACAGTAATTATGCAGAGTATTATTCCTATTATTTATTTAGTTACACATTAAATAGCATTTTATTTACATCTACTTCCACCCCAAGCCTCACAGTCACATAAAAATCTGAATTGTTGTACAGTGTCAGAACAAATATGCTGCACTCACCGGCCACTTTATTAGGTACACCTTACTAGTACCAGGTTGGACCGCTTTTGCCTTCAGATCTGCCTTAATCCTTCATATCAGAGATTCAGCAAGCTACTGGAAATATTCCTCAGAGATTTTGCTCCATATTGTCATGAGAGCATCACACAGTTGCTGCAGATTTGTCGGCTGCACATCCATGATGCCAATCTCCCGTTTCACCACATCCCAAAGCTGCTCTATTGGATTGAGCTCTGGTGACTGTGGAGGCCATTTGAGTACAGTGAACTCATCGTCATGTTCACCAGTCTGAGATGATTGAGCTTCATGACATGGTGTGTTATCCTGCTGGAAGTAGCCATCAGAAGATGGAGACACTGTGCTCATAAAGGGATGGACATGGTCAGCAGCAATACTCAGGTGGGCTGTGGCGTTGATGCTCAATTGGTACTAATGGACCCAAAGAAAATCTCCCCCACACCATTACACCACCACCACCAGCCTGAACCGCTGATACAAGGCAGGATGGATCCATGCTTTCATGTTGTTGAGGCCAAATTGTGACCCGATCATCTGAATGTGTCAGCAGAAATGGAGACTCAGAGCAGCAACGCTTCTCCAATCTTCTATTGTCCAGTTTTGGTGAGTCTGTGTGAATTGTAGCCTCAGTTTCCTGTTCTTAGCTGACAGGAGCGGCACCCGGTGTGCTCTTCTGCTGCTGTAGCCCATCCGCCTCAAGGTTGGACGTGTTGTGTGTTCAGAGATGCTCTTCTGCAGAGCTCGGTTGTAACGAGTGCTTATTTGAGTTACTGTTGCCTTTCTATCAGCTGGAACCAGTCCGGCCATTCTCCTCTGACACCAACAAGGCATTTGAACTGCCGCTCACTGGATATTTCCTCTTTGTCGGAGCATTCTCTGTTAACCCTAGAGATGGTTGTGCGTGAAAATCCCAGTAGATCAGCAGTTTCTGAAATACTCAGAGCAGCCATCTGGCAGCATGTTCAAAAGTCACTCAAATCCCCTTTCTTCCCCATTCTAATGCTCGCTTTGAAATGCAGCAGATCGTCTTGATCATGTCTACATGCCTAAATGCATTGAGCTGCTGCCATGTGATTGGCTGATTAGAAATTTCCGTTGACAAGCAGTTGGACAGGTGTACCTAATGAAGTGGCCAGTGAGTGTATATTGATGTGCGCATCCACAGCTGTACTATTCCCTTTGATGTGTCTATGTAGCATCAGTGATGTTCTCTTCAGAACTTTCCTGTTGTGTTGGTGATGTCACTCTGTTGTTAGATCTCCTTCGATGCCAGAGCAGGCCCATGTGACACGCTGGTTGCCATAGTAACAGCTTCCTAAGCAACAGCCTGTGTGGGTCTATTGTGACATTCAGTAAGCTTTTGGTTTCCCAGGATTCCCGTGGACAGAATGGACTCGGGTAAAGTCTGCCTTCAAAACAAAACACAAACTCGTGCTGTTTTACTTTAAATGTGCTAAAGATGTGTTCTGTTTGATTCATTGAAAGAGCCGGTGTTTAAGTCAGCGCAGCTGGATAGGTGAGTGCGTACAGTATTAGCTGAAAACACACTGTCTTTATTTATGCTTTGTGTTTTTAAGTGTTTGCATGATGTGTGTGTGTTTGTGTGCAGGATTTCATTTCTAGCTCAACCAAAGAGGTCAAAGGCAGTCTGGGCCACAACACCATGGTAAAACCGTTTCTTTATATATAAGCATAACTTAAATCTTTCAATTGATATATATATATATATATATATATATGTATATGTGTGTGTGTAAATATTAAATATTTCCTAAATGATGTTTAACAGAGCAAGGAAATGTTCACAGTATGTCTGATAATATTGTTTCTTCTGGAGAAAGTCTTATTTGTTTTATTTCGGCTAGAATAAAAGCAGTTCTTAATTTTTTTAAACATCATTTTAAAGGCAAAATATTATTAGCCCCGTTAAGCTATATAATTTTGATAGTCTACAGAACAAACCATCGTTATACAATAACTTGCCTAATTACCCTAACCTGCCTAGTTAAACTAAATGACCTAGTGAAGCCTTTAAATGTCACTTTAAGCTTTATAGAAGTGTCTTGAAGAATATCTAGTCTAATATTATTTACTGTCATCATGACAAAGAGAAAATAAATCAGTTATTAGAGATGAGTTATTAAAATTATTATGATTAGAAATGTGTTGAAAAAATCAGCTGTCAGTTAAACAGAAATAAAAATAAACAGGGGGGCTGATAATTCTGACTTCAACTATGTGTGTGTATATATATATATATATATATATATATATTCAATTACTCATTCATTGTCTTTCGGCTTAGTCTCTTTATTAATCTTTGGATGCCACAGTGGAATGAACCACCAACTTATCCAGAATCTGTCTTACGCTTCCCAGAACTGGGGAACAGCCATACACACTCACATTCACACACAAACACACACTCATACACAGCCAATTTAGCTCACCTAATTCACCTTTAGCGACTGTGGGGGAAACCGGAGCACCAGAGGAAACCCACGCCAACATGGAGAGAACATGCAAACTCCACACAGACCTGCCAACTGGCTCAAACCAGCAACCTTCTTGTTGTAAGGCGGTCGTGCCACCCACTGCACCACCATGACTGCCTATATTTAGTAAATTCTCTACCAACTGAAAACATGATCTTTTATTAATAGTGATTTTCAAATAATTCTAATATTTTGTTCTTTTATGCCAACAATATTAAGTAAATATAATGTTCCACGGAGATACTTTGTTAATTCCCTACAAAAACATATTTGGTAACTCAATCTTTTATTGCATCGCTAAGAACTTCATTTAGACAACTCTAAAATTATATATATACAGCTCAAGTCAGAATTATTCGCCCCCCTTTATATGTTTTTTTTTTTCTTTTTTTTTTAAATATTTCCCAAATGATGTTGAACAGATTCAGGAAATGTTCACAGTATGTCTGATAATATTGTTTCTTCTGGAGAAAGTCTTATTTGTTTTATTTCGGCTAGAATAAAAACAGTTCTTAATTTTTTAAACATCATTTAAGCTCAATATTATTAGCCCCTTTCAGCAATATTAGTGTTGGATTGTCTCCAGAACAAACCACTGTTATACAGTGACTTGCCGAATTACCCTAACTTTACCCTAATTACCCTAGTGAAGCCTTTACATGTCACTTTAAGCTGAATCCTAGTGTCTTGAAGAATATCTAGTCTAATATTATTTACTGTCATCATGACAAAGAGAAAATAAATCAGTTATTAGAGATGAGTTATTAAAACTATTATGATTAGAAATGTGTTGAAAATGTGTTGTGTGTGTGTTCAGGGTGTTGACGTGGGGGAATCAGGAATCGATTCGTCCTCTGTCCCGTGCAGCCTTGCAAGCTGTTCCGAGTCCCAGAATAAAGGCTCTGGCTCAGCACAAAGACCTCGCGCTTCAGATTCAGCTCAGGTATACCTGTACACACAGCAGAAGCAGATCATCTTCATTCAGATCTTTTTTTTTAGTTAGTAGGTTCATTATCACAAAAATGTGTTATTCATAAACAGTTGAAGTCAAAGTTATTCGCCCACCTGTGAATTTGTTTTTTTTTTTTTAGAAATATTTCCCAAACTGTAATTAACCCTAACAGATTCAGGAATTTTCACAGTAACTCCTTTAATATTTCTCTTCGCTATGTATATAAATAATATATATGTGTGTGTGTGTGTGTGTGTGTTGTCAGACAATAGACGATTGTCGGTCGTTTAACCTCTGGCAAGTCTTGTGTTTGACCGCAGAGTCCCTCCAGAAAATCTCGGATCTGGGCTCTGGTTTCCTCTTCATTCTTCATTTATATATTAATTTACATATTTAATTTTTCTGTTGGGCGACACGGTGGCTCAGTGGTTAGCACTGTGGCCTCACAGCAAGAAGGTCACTGGTTTGAGTCCCGGCTGGGTCAGCTGGTGTTTCTGAGTTTGCATGTTCTCCCCGTGTTGGCGTGGGTTTCCTCCGGGTGCTCCGGTTTCCCCCACAGTCCAAACACATGCGCTATAGGGGAATTGATTAGCTAAATTAGTCGTAGTGTATGATTGTGTATGGGTGTTTTCCAGTACTGGGTTGCATCTGGAAGGACATCCGCTGTGTAAAACATCTGCTGGAATAGTGGGCGGTTCATTCCGCTGTGGCGACCCCTGATGAATAAAGGGACTAATATAGTGTTGTTGATGTTGCTTTTGAGGGAATTCATTTGAAGTGAATCATCTGTGCAGCAGACCGTCGCGCTCTGCACTTCATGTTTTGAGGGTTTTTTGAGAGTTCCCTCTGTTTTTAAAGGAGTTACGCAACATCTTGAAAACACATGTGCCTCAAACCAGAGCAGAGTCGTGTTTTTGATCAAACTAAGCAGCTTAGATTGGGCATGATGATGATGTTTTAGAAAGCTGTTATCCACAGGGTTATTTTGTAGCTAAATCTATTAAAAAGTTAATGTATAAACAGATCAAGTTATATTATTAGTGTTTCTGTCGGCGCAGTGTTTCATATTGTCATGAAGATAAACAGAAAATAAAATCCCCATATAGACATTTTTAGCTCACACTTTATTTTGATGGTCTGTTTGTTGAGTTTTAGTTACATTGCATCTACAAGCCAACTAATTCTCATCAGATTATAAGTAGACTGTGAGGGTTGGCTTAGTTTAAGTTGACAGAGATTCTCATAGTCAGTTAAATGTTAGTTTAGTATTAGCAGATATTAAGCAGACAGTCTACTGATACTCAAATGGACCATCAAAGTAAAGTGTTACCCATTTTTACAATGAAACTCATTTTAAATGGCAGAAACACAAAATTAATAATACAAACTAAATTAAATTGATTAACAATTAAAATAAAAAAGTATTAATAATAAACCAAAAATAATTAATTAATAATTATAATAAACTAAATTTAATTAATTAATTAAATAAAAAATAAATCTAGCAATAAACTAAAAAATGTATTAACTAAAAATCAATAAATTAAATGTTATTAATTAATTAACAAAATTAAATAAAACTAATAATAAACTAAAAATGTAAAAACCATAAATCAATAATAAAATAAAGTAAATTAACCAATTAATGAAATAAAAATAAAACTAATAATAAACTAAAAATGTAAAAACTAAAAATCAATAATAAAATAAATTAAATTAACCAATTAATAAAACTAAAATAAAACTAATAATAAACTAAAAATGTAAAAACTAAAAATCAATAATAAAATTAAGTAAATTAACCAATTAATAAAATAAAAATAAAACTAATAATAAACATAAAAATGTAAAAACTAAAAATCAATAATAAAATAAATTTAATTAATTAATTAATTAAAAATAAAACTAATAATAAACTAAAAATGTATTAACTAAAAATCAATAATAAATTAAATGTAATTAATTAATTAATTAAAAAATACACTAATAATGAACTAAAAATGTAAAAGCTAAAAATCAATAATAAAATCAATTAAATAACTAATTAATAAAATAAAAAATAAAACTAATAATAAACTTAAAAATGTATTAACTAAAAATCAATAATAAATTTAATTAATTAATTAATAAAATAAAAATAAAATAATAATAAACAAAACAATTTATTAACTAAAAATCAATAATACAGAAAAATTAAATAAAGTAAATTTAAAGTGAAGAAATTTATGTATAAAATATCATAATAATGTGTCTGTGTCTGGGTTGTTTGTGTGCATGACTGTTTGTGTGTGCTTGTGTGTTTGTGTGTGACTGTCTGTGTTTGTAATTGTGTCTATTATGTGTGTGTTATATGAGAGTATGAGTGTGTGTTTACCTATGAGTGTATGTTATGTGTGTACTGAATGTGTCTGTATGTTAAGTATGTGTATGATTACATGTTTACCTTTGTCTATGTGTTAATGTGTGTATGTTTGTGTGTGTGTGTGTTTTTGTGTGTGTGTGTGTGTGTGTGTGTGTGTGTGTGTGTGTGTGTGTGTGTGTGTGTGTGTGTGTGTGTGTGTGTGTGTGTGTGTGTGTGCGTGCGTGTGTGTGTGTAGCTTTCCTCATTCTCCGCTGTGTGATCATGACTGCCCCATCTGGCATGTGAGTCCCAGTGTGAGGAACGCGATCGTCTCTCCTCGAATCCTCCACCTGGCGAAACCCAAACACAACCACCCCAACTTTACCAGCAACAGACAGGTCAGAACACACACACACACACACCACAAACACACACCAAAATCAGCCCAACAGAGCCAAACACACCACTTCCAGCAGCAATAGACGCGTCTACTGCTTCATCACTGCTCTATTGATGTGTTTTGTGTGTGTGTGTGTGTGTTCGTGCGTTTGTGCAGTGGTGTTTGTGTGTGTTTGTACATCCATGTATGTTTGCATGTGTGTTTGTGCATGTGTGTGTGTGTGTGTGTGTGTACCCAAGTGTTTGTGTGTGCATGCATGTTTGTGTGCATTTATGTGCTCATGCGTGTGTGTGTGTGATTTTGTGTATGTATGAATGCATGTGTACGTGTGTGTGAGCATGTTTGTGTGTGCATGCATGTGTGTGTTTGTGTATTTGTTTGTGTGTTCATTCATGTGTGTATTTGTGTCTTCATATATTTGTGTGTGCATGTGTGTGTGTTTGTGTGTGTGTTCATACAGTATATATGTTTGTGTATGTGTTTGTGTGTTCATGCATGTGTGTGTGTGTGTGTGTGTGTGTATGTGTGATTGTGTGTGTGTGATTGTGATTGTGTCCAGAACGTGCAGACCCTGATCTCATATGCAGCTCAAACGGCCCGCATGACCTCCAGACTCCAGCAGCTCTCCCTGCCCAGACTGAGAGAGAACACACACTTCTGTGAGCCCGGACCACCAGAGAGCCCCATCACACCCGTGAGCACAATACACACACACACACACACACACACACACATTTCACTCAACATAACAATAACACAACATAATATTAAATAGGTGGTGACTCGGTGGCTTAGTGGGCAGCACTGTGGCCTCACAGCAAGAAGGTTGCTGGTTTGAGTCCCTGCTAAGTCAGTGGTCAGTTCTGTGTGGAGTTTGCATGTTCTCCCCGTGGTAGCGTGGGTTTCCTCAGGGTGCTCCCCCACAGTCCAAACTCATGCTCTATAGGGGAATTGATGAACTACATTGGCTGTAGTGTATGAGTGTGTGTGCTAATGAGTGTGTATGGGTGTTTCCCAGTACTGGGTTGTGGCTGGAGGGGCATCCGCTGTGTAAAACATATGCTGGAATAGTTGTCGGTTCATTTCGCTGTGGCGATCCCTGATGAATAAAGGGACTAAGCTGAATGAATGAATAACTGCAAGTCAGGGAATGTTATACGTAAGGAATAAAGTAGATCCAGCCGGTTGATGTTGCAGAATAAAGCCAGACAGGCTCATCAGCAGACTTGTAGAAGACTGAAGGGTTTATTCTGAGAAAACAACCATCCTGATGTACTTTATCCAGCTTATGGCATGTCTAATCACCACAAAACGTCAAAATTAGACACAAAACATTGGTCTGAGCTGTAATCTTTTATTAATTCTTTAATTATTTATTAATTATTCAAAATAAAGCATGGAAGGAATTTGAAAAGTGTCCTGGCTGGTTAAAATCCTCTAAAATGTGCTTGATTTAGCATTAAATACAAGTATTGCAGAAACACAAAATACTGGAGGGACTCCTCGACACAAATAATTGAGAGTTATTTTCAGATAAACACACAGTTAAAGTAGTTCCGGCAGGTTTGGAGCGCATTACAGCTTTATATCACTCCGCTAAATGATTAGCGTTATTTCGCAGCTACAACAGTCAAAAATCACATCAAAACACAACAGAAAGCTTTGGAGGAGATGTGCAATAATGGAGACGTTTGACAAAAACCTGACAAATAAACTCTCAAACACACCATCTGAACAGTGCCTGAGTGTTTGGCTTGTCCTTCAGGTGTCCAGAGGAGCGAGAAAAGCCACAGCGAGTGCTCGAATCCGCAGTTTATCCACTCCTAAAGCCCTCTCCAAAGACTACATCCCACCCAGAGACCCGACGTGGCGCTCCTGAAGGACCTTAGGGACGTGAACGATTCACTCAAGATTCATCATCTGAGCTTTACTGCGGTCTGTCATCTTCTCACACTGTTTTCCTCCTCTGTCAGGAGCTTCCTTCGCTCTGCTTTTCTAATAACACTCTCAGGTTTTGGCCTGGACTGATATTATTATTGTTAGCCTGCTGCCAAACTCAGCTCCTCAAACAGGGCCTTGTGTTTCACTCCTGCACTGTGTCCAGAGCGTCTCTTCTGCACTCACTGGCTGGAGAAATCACCGTGAGATGATCTGAGTATCCGCATCTGGTTTGCAGATCAGCAGAACTTTCATTCATCACAGATCTCACTGAAATCACGTGTATGTAGCCGTATAAATATGACTCTTAAAGTCAAGTTATTTAGGTGTCAGCATAATATGTTGCTCTTAATGTTGTCTATTAGTGCTCTGGAACATTTGCGTTTAGTTGAATAAATTGACAAAGATAAAATAAATCAGTTATTAGTGATGTGTTATTAAACTATTATGATTAAAAATGTGTTGAAAAATCTATTAAACAGAAATTGGTGAAAAAATAAACAGGGGGACTAATAATTCAGACTTCAACTGTACATTTATTTATTTACTTGCATATTTATTAATTTATTATTTTATTTATCCATGAATTTATTTACTCTATTTATTTATTTGCATATTTATTTATAATTTTATTTGTGCATGAATTTTTGGATTTATTTATTTATTTATTTATTTATTTATTTATTTATTTATGTATTTATTTATTTATTTATTTGCATTTTTTTTTTATTTTTTATTTTATTTATGCATGAATTTTTGGATTTATTTACTCATTTATTTATTGATTTGCATATTTATTTATTTATTTATTTATTATTTTATTTTTATTTATGCATGAATTCATGGATTTATTTACTCATGTATTTATTTATTTGCATATTTATTTATTTATTTATTATTTTATTTATGCATGAATTTATGGCTTTATTTACAGATTTGCATATTTATTATTTTACTTATGCATGATTTTTTGGATTTATTTACTCATTTATTTATTGATTTGCATATTTATTTATTTATTTATGTATTTATTATTTTATTTATACATAAATTCATGGATTTATTTACTCATTTATTTATTTATTTGCATATTTATTTATTTATTTATTATTTTATGTATGCATGAATTTATGGATTTATTTACTCATTTATTTATTTTTGCATAATTATTAAATTATTATTTTATTTATGCATGAATTTATGGATTTATTTACTCATTTATTTATTTTTGCATAATTATTAAGTTATTATTTTATTTATGCATGAATTTATGGATTTATTTACTCATTTATTTATTTGCATATTTATTTATTTAATATTTTATTTATGCATAATTGTATGGATTTATTTACTCATTTATTTATTGATTTACATGTTTTTTTATTTATTGTTTTTGCAGGTTTCATCCTCTATAAACCACTGCCTTGCTAACCATTAATAAGCAAAATCTGCCCCTAGTTGTACATTAAAATAAAGTGTGACCTATTATTATGTGTGTGTTTGTGATTTTGGATCAACTGCACATCACATCACTCCAGTTTCTCTCTCTCTCTGTCTCTCTCACTCACTGATTTTATTTCCCATGATCCTCCTGTGACCCGCGGGTGACAGATTCCTGTAGTGTCAGTGGAGTTGTTGTGGAAACACACAAAGCTGCGTTTCTCCTTCTGCCATTGAGATCCAGTGAACAGATCGAGTTCTCTCACTGTATTATTAACTCTTCAGACAGAAGCGGGTCAGAAGCCTGTATTAACACAGACTGACCACTGCATGATTCAACTGTACCACACTTCAGAGACTAAACAGGGGAGGTGTTTCATTATGCAGCAAATCCGAAAATATAAACCTGAATGTAATGATTCTGCCTTTAACTAGAGGTTAAAATATTGAGTAACGCAAACAGAAAATGTAATGCTATGCAGCACTCACTATTGAGACTACACTCACCGGCCACTTTATTAGGTACACCTTACTAGTACCGGGTTGGACCATTTTTGCCTTCAGAACTGCTTTAATCCTTCATGGCAGAGATTCAACAAGCTACTGGAAATATTCCTCAAAGATTTTGCTCCATATTGACATGATAGCATCACACAGTTGCTGCAGATTTGTCGGCTGCACATCCATGATGCCAATCTCCCGTTCCACCACATGCCAAAGCTGCTCTATTGGATTGAGATCTGCTGACTGTGGAGGCCATTTGAGTACAGTGAACTCATCGTCATGTTTAAGAAACCAGTCTGAGATGATTGAGCTTTATGACATGCTGCGTTATCCTGCTGGAAGTAGCCATCAGAAGATGGAGACACTGTGCTCATAAAGGGATGGACATGGTCAGCAGCAATACTCAGGTAGGCTGTGGCGTTGATGCTCAATTGGTACTAATGGACCCAAAGAAAATCTCCCCCACACCATTACACCACCACCACCAGCCTGAACCGCTGATACAAGGCAGGATGATCCATGCTTTCATGTTGTTGAGGCCAAATTCTGACCGGAGCATCTGAATGTGTCAGCAGAAATGGAGACTCATCAGAGCAGGCAACGTTTCTCCAATCTTCTATTGAACCAGTCTGGCCATTCTCCTCTGACCTCTGGTGTTGAAGATGAACACAAAGACTCTTGATGAACTCTGGGATCCTGCTGAAGGCTTTCTTCTTCATTCCAGATGACTTTATTAATCAGTGATGTGAGTCATGTCAGAGATGTATGGATGCAGTCCTCCAAGCTCATGATGGAGTCAGACACAATCTTCATTCTGTCTCCACTGCAGCAGGACTTTATATTCTATACTGGACATTATTTCTGTTCAGTGATGACACTTTAGTCTGAGCAGAGTCAGACCGCACTGTCCTCATCAAATCAGTCAACATCAAGACATGATCAGATTTTATTGAGCTCAAATAAGTGTAATCTAGCGGCCTTCACCTTTCATATAAGACACTTCTGATACCAAATGATCAACAAGAAGTCCAGCTATAATTTGCTGTTCATAGAACTTGAATAGGCCACAAGACTTTCATCAGGTAGTGTATATTACACATTAGTATTTTATTTACTAGAAGGCCTTCGAGTACTTCATTCATTCATTCATTCATTTTGTTTTCGGCTTAGTCCCTTTATTCATCTGTGGTCGCCACAGCGGAATTAACCGCCAACTTATGCAGCATATGTTTTACAAAGCGAATGCCCTTCCAGCTGCAACCCATCACTGGGAAACCTTCAATCACTTGAACACTTCATAATTTTTCATATCTTCCAGGATATCACTGACGCTGTTTCTTTAAACAGTCACTGCTGCAGTGTGTGTGTGTGTGTGTGCGTGTGTGTGTTCAGCGCCGCATCTGCTGCTGCAGTCAAATAAACTAGTTTGTTTTTCCGTAGAGGGTGTGGGATGTTTTTTTTCACACCCCATTGCACAACACACACACACACACGCACACACACACACGCGCACACGCACACGCACACACACACACACATACACACGCACACACACACTGCATTGTTCACTCTGCCAACCTCACAATACTGCACTCTTCCTCCTTTACTTTACTTTTCTATTAAAGATTTCAATATTTTATGAAACTGCATCAGGATTCGATTCTCTTTTGTCTGTTTCCACATCAGTTCTGCCGTCCTCCATTTATCCTAAACCCCATTTCAGCTGATGTTCAGCATTTAGATGCATTCTGACAGTATGCACATGTTAAGCTCTCAGAGTTTCTACAGGTTTCAAGTTAAAATTAAGACTTTTTAAAACCTTTTTAAGATCGTAATGAATGAAATTTCAGACTCACACAAGGTTAAACGCTAAAGATTTATTATAATGGACAAGTTAAAAGCTTAAGAATACATTAAAAACCAATGTCATTCATTCATTTTCCTTCAGCTTAGTCCCTTTATTCATCAGGGGTCGCCACAGCTTAATGAACCGCCAACTATTCCAGCATATGTTTTACACAGCGGATACCCTTCCAGTACTGGGAAACACCCATACACACTCATTAACACACACAAAATGGCCAATTTAGTTGATCAGTTCCCCTATAGCGCATTTGTTTGGACTGTGGGGGAAAACCAGTGCACCCAGAGGAAACCCACACCAACACGGGAAAAAATGATCAGACTTCAAGGGGTAGTTCACCCAAAAATGTAAATTTACTCAATATGTATTCTCCCTTAAGTGTTTATAAACCTACTTATGTCAAACACGAAAGGAGATGATTTGAAGAAAGATGAAAACCGGTAACCATTGAATTCCATAGAGGTTACTGAAAGATATGTTGTTCATAGTATGACAGACATTATATTTATTTCCATAGTATGATGCTGAAAAATCTGTAACCAATGACTTCCATAGCATTTTTTTTTTCGATTACTCTTGTGTTCAGTGTAAAGACAAATAATTATCGCTTACAAAAATAAAAGCAGAGGACAAGCTTTTGGCCTTCATTTAATCATTTATTAAAGAAATCTAGATTATTTTAAATTTTTCTGTAGGATTATAGATGAAGCACACAGTTTTACACTTGCTGCTGTGTTTATTTCTTATCTATGATCCTAAAATGAAGAAAGAAACCTTGAAAACTCATGAAATAAAACCAACATGTGCAATTCTTTATATACAAGTGCTTACATTTAGCTCATTCACATACATATGATAGCTATTATGGCAATAAAATAATATATATATATGTGGCATACGCAGACACTGAGCGTTCAGATCAAACTTAAAAAATAGAGACTCACTATTTACTCTCCCTTAAGTGTTTAAAAACCTTCATTCTTCTGTCAAACACAAAAGGAGATGATTTGAGAAAAGGTGAAAACCGGTAACCATTGACTTCCATAGTGTATCTGAAAAATATGATATCCATAGTATGATAGACATCACAGTTATAACTATAGTATAATGCTGAAAAATCAGTAACCATTGACTTCCATAGCATTATAGAAGTCATGGGTTACCGATTTTTTAGCATTCTTCAAAATATCTCCTTTCGTGTTTGACAATAAAGAAGCTCATAAAGGTTTGAAACCATTAAGGATGTTTAATAAATGAGAGCAAACGATGATAACTGTAATTTCTGTGTGAACGATCCCTTTCAGAAAACATCCTCAGATGAGAAAAACGAGAGACAGTGAGATGATCAATCACTGGAGCAGACTCAGAAAGAGAGAAGGTGAAGAATGAAGCTCCTCCGTCAGTCCTTCACTGAGCCCAGTTCAGCTGGAAGTCCTTCAGCTTTCCTCCACTGGGCATTTCTCATTCTGAACCATACCTGAAACACAGAGAGAGATAGAGAGAGATAGAGAGAGAGAGCGATTACACGACAGATTATGCTATTATATGGTATTTAGCAGTTGTTAGTTGGTATTAACATACAACAATGTTGCGACTGACCAATCAGAAGCGAGTATTGGAACAAGAGGCTGTAATATCACCATAACTTTTCTGGGTCTGTTTGGCGCCATCTAGTGTCTGAATAATGCGCAGGTTAGTGTATACTCCATCAGCTGTTTTTGTTAGTGTTTTCGTCTGTTTGGTGCCATCTAGAGTCTGAATAATGTGCAGGTTAGTGTATACTCCATCAGCTGTTTTCATTTGTGTTTTCGTCTGTTTGGTGCCATCTAGTGTCTGAATAATGCGCAGGTTAGTGTATACTCCATCAGCTGTTTTTGTTTGTGTTTTTGACTGTTTGGCGCCATCTAGTGTCTGAATAATGCGCAGGTTAGTGTNTACTCCATCAGCTGAATTATTTTATGTCAGCTTTGTGTTTCTGATTGAAAATGAATGAATGTATATTTATCCGTTCACTCAAAAAAGACAATTGCTGTTTGCAAAATATTATTTAAATTAAGTTGAAACAACACAATTCTTTAGTTTTTGGGGGGACAACTCAATTGTTTCATGTTCAATCCACTTACATTTGTGAAAACTAATAAGCTAACTTAATTTCATCATGTCGCCCCAACACAAATCGACTGTGTGGAACCCAGCATTTATATTTACAGTGTATGAACAGGGATTATTCTGACAATGTTATTATATTTACATCAAAACTTACACCGTGTAAAAGATCAACCTTATTTTTTCGTAATCATTATTGTGTAAACAAGATCCTAAGGCTTGTGTGTGTGTGTGTGTGTGTGTGTGTGTGTGTGTGTGTGTGTGTGTGTGTGTGTGTGTGTGTGTGTGTGTGTGTGTGTGTGTGTGTGTAGACTAAGGGTGTTTTACACAACAATGTACTTCTCATTTTGTGTTTCTGATGTTTCATGACTACAGTGCTGTATTGGCTTGTAAATCCAGCAGTTGATGATGTGCTGTACTTCTCTATTGTTGCTGTGTTGGTGTTTATTAATAGTTCAAACA